CAGTTTTTTGTTCCTTTGTTTTTTCCCACCCCCGCCTGCCCGCCCCTCTTTCTGTTTCTGGTCTTTGATCTCCAGAGGTTCGTTGTTTCTGGCCTTTGGGGCTACAACAGGGGACTGCCCACGTTTCAAACATGCTCCAGGAGAGGAGTCCAGAGGCCCCGACAGTGAGCCGTGAACAAGTCACGACACCGGATGTTGGGTAGAGAAACAGGGAGCATCAGGGGAAGGGGGCAATTGCGAGCTCAGGGATGTCTGATTGTCTGCGGAGCGGCAAGATCCCCGCGCGATTCGATTGGGAAGGCCGCTCAGGCTGGTCAGCACTCCACGTTTCCTGGCCTCTGCCGCGTGCACTCTCCTGATCACGGTGATGGATCCTCCGATCACCGATCGATGGCTGAGCGGCCCGATTCCGATCGCTGATAGGCCTGGCCCGATCGTCAGCCTCAGAACAATCCACCGCACGATGAGCCCCAAGGACGGTCCCGTCCCTTGACTTCCCGGCCCTCCCTCTCCTCGCCAGGCCTCCTAGAGAAAGGGCGAGGAAGACGGGGAGACGACGGCATTTGAGGCAGGCAAGGCTGGAGAAAGACGTATATTCTCTTGCACAGCTGTGCTCTAGAGCGCGGACCTCTTTATTTTCGTTCGTCGTCGTCGTTCGTTCGTTCGTTGTTCGTCCTCCCCCCCACGGCCACAAAAGTAAACTCCTGGAGGAAGGAGGCGAAAGCCTCCTGTCTCCTGCAGCTCCTTGGTGCAAGAGCCAGGGCACGCGTGCCACTTATTCAAATTATCCCTCTCTCTCTCTCTCTCTCTCCCCCCGGATCTCTTAGTTCTCCAGTGCCACCGCCAGACACAGCGCAAGCGGCAGACAACGTATCGGAGCGGTTAGGCGCATTTGGGCGAAGCGAAGCCCTGGCGAGCGCTTGAGCGTACAGTCGGGGCCCTGAAGAAGGAACCTTTTTCGTTGGGGAGGGGCTCCGTGTTCCTTGATTGCTTCACAGCTTGCCTCAGGCTTCCCTTTGGTTTTCCACAGGAAATCGAATGTTAACACTTGGAAAAAAGGGGCCTCGTTCCTTATTTTAGGGTTCCTTAGGTCAACGCCCCGACTGTATGTAGGTCGGCGAAGCCTCCTGGGCGTTTGAGCGCATTGGAGCGTTTGAGCGTACTGGAGCGCTTTAACCCCGGCGAGCGTCTGGGCGCATGGGGCGCTTGGGCGTTGTGCGCGGTCGGCGAGGCCGCGCGAGTGGCACCCCGGCGGGTGATTCGGGACGTCCGCGCGGCAGTGCCGCACGACGCCGCGTGGCGGCCATAGGGGGCCACCTGCGAGCCCTGCAGTGGGGGCGCGCATCAAGAAACTGTCTGATTTTCGTCAGGGTACCCTTCTAGGCCTCCCAGATGGGGTCGGAGTAGATGGGGTTGGAGGATCGCGCCGCGTCGCCGATGCATCGGCGCTGCATCGCCGATGCGGCTCGATGCGGAGCCCAAGTTTCTTCGCTCGGACGTCGCTGATGCATCGCCGACGTCGACGATGCATCGCCGGTGCATCGCCGATGCATCGCCGATGCATCGCCGATGTATCGGCGATGCGGCGCGATCCTCCGACCCCGTCTACTCCGACCCCATCTAGGAGGCCTCTAACCCTGGGTGTCGTTGTTCGCGCGCTGCGCGGTGACTGCCCGCGGCCGTCAAAGAAGCTGATTCGTTCAGGATGCTCGGGTTTTCCCTCAGGTGCACCTCGCGCGTGGGTTTCTAGGGTTGGGTTCCTTGCGAGGGTGTCTTGCGACCGCGCCCGCACTCCCCCCACGATTTCTGAGGGGGAGGGGGAGGTGGGCTTCACTTCGTTCGGGAGCTCTCGAGCGAAGTGAACCCCGCCCTCCCACGCAGAAAATCGGGGGGGTGGGGGGGAGGGCGCTAGGGCTCGCAGGTGGCCCTCTGGGCCAGCCCCGGTCGACCTGCAGATCTCTCAGAGTTCTGCACGTCTGAAGCGAACCTCCTCCACAGGCGTCTCGGCCAGATCGCTCCGCAGGCGTCTCGCAGGTTCCGGCATGCTTGAGGCCGCTTCGAGGCCCGAGGGCCGTCAAGAAACGGCTCCGAATCGTACAGCATGTTTTGGGGAAGGGGTTCGAGCGTTCAGGGGTCCGTGGTAACAAAAACAATCGCCACAAGTACGGGCCGTGGGAGGTTCGGGAATCTCTCTCTCTCACTCTTTTCCCTGCCTCTGCAAGCGCACGGATTCTCGCTGGGCCATGTCGGAACCGATTGCTCAAGCACACAGTAGGTCTGCGCCGGGGTCATGCGGCGGTGGCCCCAGTGCGGGCGTTACGATTAAACGCCGCCAGTGACCCAGAATCGGCTGACACAGAGCGATCAACGCTATCGGAGAGCCGCGATCGTTCACGGGTTGAACAATCCTCGCGGATTCAGGAACCAACGCCCGCGACATCGCGAGGGGGAGGCGGAGCAGGAGGAGGAGGAGGAGGAGGAGGAGGAGGAGGAGGAGGAG